TAGATAACAAAGCTTCAAAACCATCACTACGTGAATCTAAGATTCATAATTTTATTTTTATATTTCATTTTGTACATATCACTTATGATCATTTTTATCCACGAAATTATTAAAAAAGAAAAAAAAAAGAGAAATAAGAAAAAAAAAGATGATAAGAACATGGTGTCGGGTGTAAAATACAGTTCGATGTTGTCGCGTTGAAATGTGAATAGACAACGATATTTTGATTAAATGCTTGTATTAGGATTTTCAGTCAAATGAAAAAAAAAAAAAAAGGAAGGTAAAAAAAAGAAAAAAAAAAGAATGAAAGTTTCAGCGTTAATGAGATAGAACGTATTCTTGTATAAAACGCATTTCTTTAATGCATAAGTAGATAAAATATTTAAAAAAAAAAAAAATGAAATATGTTTAAGTTGTAAATAATTCGTAAAACACGTCGTTATTCTCGTGTCAGTGTAAATTACACGAAATGATTTGTCTCTAAGTTCTTTCAAGTGTAATCGTATATAATATGATGATAAGTCTTAGTTTATTCATTTATTTTACAAGATATTTATATAACATTAATATTAATTTTATTTATATTATCTCTACTAAACGAATATCTCTAAATATCAATTGCTGTATGAGATCAATTCTAATACATATGATATCGTTTATATTTTCACGTAAAAAAGATCAAAAATTAATTTTTTTGTTTTTTGTTTTTTTTTTTCTTCTCTCTCTCTTTCTCTCTCTTCTTGTAATCAATCGAATAACGAATAAAAATCACCGGCACTGGCATAAGAAATTGAATGTTTCATTTACGGAAAATAAACGTCGATAGCATTATTAGATTCGCATCGATGATCACTCATAGTAATTACTGTAAATGAAACATCTGTGAACAAGCCATTGACTTTGTTGACGATCGTGTTACATAGAAATGTTTTTGTACGGAGAGTCGCTTTTTAGTTTTTATTCACAGAAAACGAAGTTATAGCTTTAACAATGCAACATGGGACTGGCATCTGGATTATTCGAATCATCCACCACCTGATGGTGAGTGTTTTCAGGTGTTCGACTGCCTTCAGTTCCCCTTCAGTTAGATTTCTATCCTACAAATGATTCCGATTCTATCTTTTTATCGTAACCATACTTTCCTTTACGAATTACCATTGTGTTAAAGGCATGTCATTTATTAAGACACGTCTCGGGGTGTTTGATGTTCACTCTTTAATAATGATATTAATGATAATATACGTAATATAGATATCGATATGAACGATACATCGCAACGTATTATCTCAGGAACTAAGTATTTGCAGAATAATCTTCATGAGTGTATATTTGCATACGAATTACAACGTTTGTATAAATCCGCGAATTAACACTGATATCCGAAATACATGGTTTATTTTTTTTTTTTTTTTTCGAAAATTTATTCGATTAAGAATTATTATTGAGATAATCTGCGAATACTATAGTTAATTCGAGCGGTTAGGGACCATTTCGTTATTTGTACATATTGGTCGTAATCATGAGATCGTATTTCTTTTTCTTTTTTTTCTTTTTTTTTTTTTTTTCTTCCGTTCTAAAGCTTCTCTGCTCGTATACGTCTTATGTTACGTTAATCAAAGTATAAATGTATAGTGCAGTATCAGCAAATTACATTATATATATATATATTTTTTTTTTCTTGCTTCTGTTATAGTCGAATTAGATTCATGTACGTAAGCATTATGTCACTATCTTTATACTGTATTCTGTCATTTTCTTACATTCACTTTAATTTTTGTTCGTGTGATACGAGCATTCGAGATTTTTACAGGTCTAGGTGAATGTACAAAGTAACTGACTTGGATGTAAATCGAGATATTCAAATCCTGAATAAAAAATTTTTCTTATAAAAGAATCTACTATGTTACTAAGAATATTTATTCTAAATATATATTCTTCCGTTTATTTTACTACTTATTTTATTTCATTTCGATTATAAAAATTTCGAATTTCAATTTAATCGAATTGAATTTCATTAAAATTAAAAATTTCATTAAGAAAACAAGAATTAGATTATTTCTTCAGAATATTATCGTTATTTTTTTCTACATAGGCAAAAATTTTATCTACTTCAGTTCGATTATAAAGTTACCACATTTTCTAAAGTAAAATTTATAAATTATAGCATTTTATGATTATACGATAAAATGTAATTTATAAATAAATAACACAATAAACTGTATAATAACTGTCAGTTCCTAATTCTTCAATTAGAATGAAAGTCTATATTTAATCATAATTATTTTCTCTTGAGCAATTAAATTAAACAATTATATTCTTGTTTTCTTTCAACGGAACAAAAAAAAAAAGAATTTTAGATTTTATAGATTTTATAAGTTCTCTTCCTTTCTTTTTTCTCTTTCAATAAAACAGACTCAAAGAAGATTAGTGCAATATAAATATTTTTAGGAATTTTCGACTGATTTTTTTTTAGTTAATCATAGCGATAACTAATTAAAAACTTTAAACGTTCGAGAAAGGGAAAGTTACGATTATATAGAAACATTTTATTCGAAAAAATATACGTTTCGTGAAGCTAGGTGTACATTACGCGTGTAAATTAACATCTCGAAAAGACACTAAGCTTTGCTCGTATTTTTTCCAACAAAGTAAGTTTTGATCGTAATTTTTCCATTATTTATTTATTAATACTAATTCTTAAACCATTTGATTGAAGTTTGGATACAATTTTTCGAGTATTTCACGCGATACGATTAGAATTAAAAATAACAGCTTGTAATGCTCGATAAAAATGCTGCTAGGAAAGAATTTTTTTATAATTAAATCACAATATCAATGAATTCAACGGAATAATTAAAAATTTAACGCTGTTTATACTCGATGAAAATTTTCCAAATAATCCAAACTTTCCTCTTCAAATATCTTCAATTCAACTGTCTAGTTTTTTTTTTTTTTTAATTTTATGACAGCCCAGAAATTAATCATTATTCCTTTATTCGTTAATTTCTTGATTCATTTCCCGTTATATCGGATAATAATCTTTCATTACTATATTTTCTGATATACCGGAGTAGCGTATATGCGAATAACATAATATAATACTTCAATGTTATCTAACAAAGAGAAAAAAAAAAAAAAAAAACCAACTATCGAAATGACGTATGAATATATATAGTATCGTGGAATTTTACACAATACTATCAGGCAGATCGATATAAACAGTGAACATCAATATTATCCTCGTGCGTATACAGTAACAATAAGTAATCATGCTTTTTTGTTACTTAGAAAAAAGTAAAAAATTAAAAAAAAAAAAAAAGAAAAAAAAAGAAAGAAAAGAAAAAAATCGTTATTAGAGAAGAAAAAGAAAAGAAGAAGAAACTGAATGAGATCGTGCACTCGGAACTCCATTCACGTATCTTTTCGTTCCGAAACGTCAGACATGTCTATAGCACATTCATGTGTCCTCGATCCATTCTCGAGAACATTGCGTCGTTCGTTTGTGTATCGGTGCGATGTTCTCGAGAGCCACCTAATATAAAGCAAATTAAAAGAAAAGAAAAAAAAATCCCCCTATAAAAAAAAAAACGAACAAAACAAATCGAAAAAAAGATAAAGAAAAAACGCGAAACGGTGAACAACATCACTATCACCCGTAACACACGTACACACACACACACACACACACGTACACGTATCTTTCTCTTGTACAATAAAAATCGAATAAAAAATCAAGTAAGGAAAAAAAAAAATAAAAAAAAAATAAATAAAAAAATAAAAAAAAATGAAAAATTCGAAAAAAAATTTTGCTGAAGGCAAGGCTAACTATCTAGGAACGAGTGTTTATAAGAGTGCGCGGAAAGTCCAAAATTTTGAAGGTTTCTCGATCGATCAATTCGTCTCTAGAATCCTTCTCGGACGTTCCTCCTTTATATTATAATCCTTTCTCTCTCTCTTTCTCTGTATCCCACCCTTTATCTTCAGCCCTTTTTCTCTCTTTCTCTCGAACACGATATTAAAAAAAAAAAANAAAAAAAAAAGAATTTCAAAACGAACGAGACATTTAGTGAACACTCGCTTCCATTAATCCACGAACACATACAAGACAGCACAATATTAACACGTACATACACACAGAGTTAGAAAGACACGAGTAACACACTCTTAAAAATAAAAAATAAAAAAAAAAAAAGTAGCATATTCATATACTGACAAGAGGACCCCGTGCACAAACAGACGCACGATTTTATATGGAACATAATTGTGGAGGTAAACTGCGAATGCATCTGCGAGGCTGCGTGTGTTTTAACAATATGAATGTGTGAGTCAATTTTGTCTGAATGAAAAGGGGGAAAAAAAAGAGAGAAAGAATGACGATAAAAATAAAGCAGCATCGAAATACATTATCATGTGTTTATGTGCTTATGTACAGCGTACACAGGCTGTCACGATACACCGACACGGCCCCGGCTTCCTAAATAAGAATGTGCGGGGAAGGGGAGAAAAAAAAAAAAATAATGGTATGGATTCGATTTTTAGTCAACGAGAGAGTCGTACGTACTACACCCATGATCACACGACCCTGAATCGTGAACGAATCGTTGTAACCGTGACGAAATTCTTTTAGGTTCTCGGTACCGACGAAGAAGCCCCTTCCTCTGTGTCGATACGTGTCAACTTTGAGAAACGAAAAATGACCGCCGAAAAATGAGAGGAGAGGGTGAAACCGATTTCTCGATATAAGGTCGCCCCGCTGGGAAACGAAGCTTAACGAGAGCTTAAATTATTAATTACCAATTATCGCTTTACCACCAGAATATTTATCATTAGAACTACCTCCAAACGCATTGTATACCTTGAATACATTTAACACGTGTAATATCGATTTCCGTTGAAAATTATCTCTCAGCGTTTGGTAGTAGCGTTCTAGTGTTAAAAAAGAAAAACGATCGATTGACATATAATATTTATTATACCGTATTTTCATTCTTGTCTCCTTAATTCTCGTTTCTTTTTTTTCATATTTTTATAATCCCATCGTGCGAAAAAACGTTACAGCCCAGACGATTCGGCCACGATCGCTAAGAATTCGCTCCATACCATCGTGCATACCAGCAAGCAACAACAATTTCTTTCGAATCGATACGCTCGGCCGTATATCTCTCGTTGTAGAATTGAAACGCGTGCAAAGAAGCTCTCGTCTCTGTCTTATTTCCGCGTGCGAGTTGGAATCCATCCCGTGTCTCTCTCTCTCTCTCTCTCTCTCTCTCTCTCTCTCTCTCTCTCTCTCTC